AAGGTCTAGTCAAATTTATGATCAATGTTTAAGAGCATTGATTTTGTACCTTCTCATTCCATAAGGAATTCAAATCAATTCATAAATTTGACCAAAAATTTCAAAATTCACAATTGCCTCTTAATATCGTTTGATGTAACAAACCTCTACCCAAATGTCCCAGTTGAATATACTCTTGAAATAATTTCAAAGATGTTTGATTCACATTTTGATAACCAAAATAATGTAAAACATCTGAATTACATTCTTAAGCACATAGTAAAACAAAATCAATGCAGCTTTGAAGGAGAATTTTATTTGGTTACCCATGGGANTTTCTGTTAATATTTTATTTTTTGATTAGTAGGCAGTGTCAGAAGTGTGGAATAATGGCCTCATTATTCAACACTTTGTCTGTCATGGGTAATGAGTGTCATTACCCGTCAAAAATCAATTGTATAACGAATAGATAATTCAATAGTTGTAGATAAATATATTTATAATCTACTGAACTGAATTTTAAATACTTACAGTCAAAATGTTTGAAACAATAAAAGTTTACTCCCTCCCAAAATTACACAAACTAGACATGCCCATTAGGCCTATCACTTCGTTTAAGAACTCACCGATTCAAGGTCTCGTCAAATTTATGAAAAATATGTTTAATAGCATTGATTTTGTACCTTCTTATTCCATAAGGAATTCAAATCAATTCATAAATTTGACCAAAAATTTCAATATTGACAATTGCCTCTTAATATCGTTTGATGTAACAAACCTCTACCCAAATGTCCCAGTTGAATATACTCTTGAAATAATTTCAAAAATGTTTGATTCACATTTTGATAACAAAAATAATGTAAAACATCTGAATTACATTCTTAAGCACATAGTAAAACAAAATCAATGCAGCTTTGAAGGAGAATTTTATTTGGTTACCCATGGGAATGCCATTATCTGGATTCTGGCGGATATATTTTTGGATCACCTTGAAAAGAATTTCATCATGAATGAAGCTAATCCTTACGTCAACAATATTGGCTGTTGGGCTTGGTATGTGGATGACGTCTTTTGTGTATGGAAAGGGAATGAGGAATCCTTACATAACTTTCACAATTACATCAATGGTTTACAAAACAATCTTAAATATAACTAAAATTAGAACTAATACTAGAAGCTTTGGGATCATTACGTGGGGTGCATCTAGAGAGATGGAAGCCATTTTCGTTATGCAAAGAAAGGCAGTTCGGTTACTGGCAGGACTAAAAAATCAAAAGAGTTGTAGAACCCAATTTAAAAAATTAAAAATACTTACCTTGCCGTGCTGTTTTATACGCTCCTGTCTAGAGTATACTCATAATAATAAAGATTTGATGTTGAAAAACGCAGACAATCACGAACACAACACCTGATACAAAGAAAATATTGTGGTTCCGTATCACCGAGTGGTCAAATCACAAAACACATACGATTATATAGCCGTTGTTATTATTATTATTATTATTATTATGGGCAAGAATTTCCAATCTACTCATAGATCATTCTGGGAAATTTTGAAATTAAAATTAATTCTGGAATTACATTACATTACATTACATAGAATACATATCGGGTAGGCGGACNATCATGAATGAAGCTAATCCTTACGTCAACAATATTGGCTGTTGGGCTAGGTATGTGGATGACGTCTTTTGTGTATGGAAAGGGAATGAGGAATCCTTACATAACTTTCACAATTACATCAATGGTTTACAAAACAATCTTAAATACAACTAAAATTAGAACTAATACTAGAAGCTTTGGGATCATTACGTGGGGTGCATCTAGAGAGATGGAAGCCATTTTCGTTATGCAAAGAAAGGCAGTTCGGTTACTGGCAGGACTAATAAATCAAGAGAGTTGTAGAACCCAATTTAAAAAATTAAAAATACTTACCTTGCCGTGCTGTTTTATACGCTCCTGTCTAGAGTATACTCATAATAATATAAAGATTTGATGTTGAAAAAAGCAGACAATCACGAACACAACATCTGATACAAAGAAAATATTGTGGCTCCGTATCACCGAGTGGTCAAATCACAAAACACATACGATTATATAGCCGGTTATTATTATTATTATTATTATTATGGGCAAGAATTTCCAATCTACTCATAGATCATTCTGGGAAATTTTGAAATTAAAATTAATTCTTGAATTACATTACATTACATAGAATACATATCGGGTAGGCGGACCAACCAACCTTGCACCGCGACCCTAAGGATCTATTGTACCCCGATAGATATCGTTATCAAATTTCACCGTGCAGTCCAATGCTCTTAACGAACATTAATACCTTGCTCGGCGAAAGGTCATTCAGATCTTTTGAGGAGATAAACTGCGACCCAAAAATCGAGAATCTGATACGGTTAACGGCAGGGCAGTGGCATAAAACATGCTCAACCGTCTCTGCTTCCTCCGCACATAGTCGGCATTCAACATCGTCGGCTAAACCCAACAAGTTGAGGTGTGCTTTTAATCGGCAGTGCCCAGTAAAAACACCCATTAGAACTTTTATGCTACTACGGGCAAGTCCTAAAATATTCCCGGGTTTGACAGTGGCGATGTTAATAAACACCTTAGCATGTCTCATTCCAGGAGAACTGGTCCACAGTAGGCGAAGTCTCTCTTCAGCCCACAGTCCAATCCTATATTTGGCCATCGCAAATGATACACCAACTGCTGGTTCCGGTCCCACAAACGCTTCAGCGCTGCCATCTCGTGCTAGCTTATCTGCCGCTTCATTGCCAGCAACCCCAGAGTGACCCGGGACCCAGATCAGAGAGACTCTGTTATCACAACTCAGTGTGTTTAATGTTCTCTTACAATCATTAACCAGAGCCGACACCGTTTTCACGGCTTGCAGCGCCTGGAGAGCGGCTTGACTGTCTGAGAAAATTCGTACTGTCATGTTCTTCACCCCTCTTTCAAGAAGGATTTTAGCACCCATGTCAATAGCAAATACTTCCGCCTGGAATACAGTACAGTACGTACCCAGGCTGTAGGCTTGCTTAATTCGAGGTGTCTGGCAGTATACTCCTGCTCCTACCCCTTCAGGCGTTTTTGATCCATCTGTGTACAAGCAAATGTCTGCCCGAACCAGAGAATTTTCATTTTCGATCCAGGACTGCCGCTCAGGCAGTACAATCTGGTATCGAGCATTAATCACTGATAGTGATACCGCCAAATCTGACGGCATTGATAGCACAGTATCAGTGCTTATAATGTCTTCCGCAGCCCATTGGTAGGACATGTCGGAACAGTTTTGAGCATATTGCTTAAATCTGTAAATGGTTGTTCTAGCCACTTTCTCTATATGCAAATGCAGAGGAGATAGGCCAAGCAGAACCTCCATTGCTAGAGTTGGCGTTGTGCCTATCGCACCAGAGATTGCCAATCCAGCTACTCGTTGAATTCGTGAAAGTTTACTGATAACTGAAGTCTGTCGGACTTTCCTATACCAGGCTGCTGCTCCGTATGTGATCATAGGTCTAACCACAGTCACATAGAGCCAGTACAGTCTTTCAGGGGTAAGACCCCAATTTTTTCCACAAAGACTGCGACAAGTCCACAAGGATAGTCTAGCTTTGTGCAAAACTCCCTGCAAATGTCCATTCCATGACAGGGTTTTGTCTAGGATTACTCCTAGATATTTGACTTCCTTTGAGAAAGGAATTTCTTCACCTTGGATAGTTGGGCGGATTAGTCCATCCAACTTTCGCTTCCTGGTGAAGGGCACAACAATTGTCTTTTGCGGGTTTATTGAGAGGTTCTCTCCCTTACACCAAGCGCAAATGGTATCTAGGGTCACCTGGAGGACTTTAGATATCCTCGGCAAACAGGTTCCTTTGACCATAACGACAATGTCATCAGCATAAGCTTGTATTTCCACACCAACGGCTTCGACTATCGCAATCAGATCGTCAACTAGGAGGGACCAAAGCAGGGGAGATAACACCCCTCCCTGCGGGCAGCCACCTCCCGGCCTGAAGCGTATCGTATCACCGTGGAGTGAAGTAGAAACTATTCTACTATCTAGCATATTGCGGATCCAACCCGCTATAGTTGCTTCCACTCCCCTGTCAAGAGCAGCTCTTTCAAGAGATTGTGGTATTGCGTTGTTGAACGCTCCCTCTATATCCAGAAACGCACAAACCAAGATTTCTTTATCCTGCAGCGTCCTGGATACTCTACCAACTAAGTTGTGTAGAGCCAATTCTGCTGATTTTCCCGCTTGATAAGCATACTGGTGGCGACTCAGTGGACCAGATACCAATGGCACCGTACGGATATACCGTTCCAGAACTTTTTCAAGGGTTTTCAGCAGAAATGACGTTAGGCTGATGGGTCGAAAGGCATTAGAAGTAGGGACCGAACGGCCCGCTTTGGGTATGTAAGATACCCGTACCTTAGTCCATTCTGCCGGCACATATTTCCAGGCGACACTCGCTCTGAAAATTTTTACCAAAATTGGCAACAACAAAGACCTCCCCTGCTGTAACAAAGCAGGAAAGATATTGTCTTCTCCAGGCGATTTGAACGGCTTAAACGTTTGAATTGCCTGGTCCACGGATGTGTAAGTGATGACTTTTCTAGCCACACTTTATTCTGGAATTAGTCTGACGCTTTCCAGATTAGCCAAGACAATCTAGACACTGCATTTCCCAATTGTTGGATTATTTCTTTTGGAGACATTTAAAAGGTAAAATTTACGTCATAAAACATGCAAATACTCCGGGGACATACTGTATTTAAGTTATATGGTGCACAATAAAGGTTATTATTATTATCATTATGTTACTGAAAACTTAGTATCAGAAGGAGAAGAAAGTGGACTGTCACGGTACTAGTTATTTATTTAATAGAATTCTTTTTGAGTTACTTTATTATTATAATTCATGAACACTTTCGTGTGACCAAAAAAAAGTAATTTATTTTTGTTATCTTTTTTAATTCTTACTAGAAGCATATATTTTAATTTTAAATCATTATTAATCCTTGAAAATACGTAAAATGTTTCATAACAGTTATAAATAAACGTTTATTTTGTTTATAAATACGAAATTCTGGCCTGTACGAAGACTTTCGAGACTAAGAGAAGGATTGTATTATCTCCCACTCAAGAATCCAATAATAATTTTGAATTCCACCAACGGCATCAAGATTAATACCCAACTCAAGGAGACGTCCTCTGATTTGTTTAACTTCATCCATTGCCCAGATACCTTCCCATAGCCAATGTGCCATACTAATTTTGTAGAAGCATTTACCGAAATCTGCACTGCTATATTTTTTTTCATCGATAGCGTCGGCAATAGCATTAACATCAATAATTGCACGAACTTCATCAAGGAAACCCTTTACGTTACGCTGGTTCGCGTTTTTGGGAAGGATAACATCAGCTAAAAGGTCGTAAATGTATTGCATGACTCCGTCAATATCAACTCCAGCATCCGCCAGGTGTGCTTTGAATTTTTGCCACCTCTCATGTTTAGCGACGGCGTCAACTAAACTGGAAAATTCTGGTCCCTGCAAATATCTGACTACTTCTTGGAATTCAGCATCAGTTGCGGCGTATCTACGAGCAAGAGCTCTGATTTCAGCTAATGGAATTTTCGAAACAATATATTCGAGATCGGATTGAAGATCTCCGTTGGCCGTTGGTATGGCCGATATAGCAGCCACAACGGCGAAAAAAAACAAAATTAATTTCATCTATGAAGAAGACACGATTTAAATTTAGAAAGATGATTTTATTTTTTATAAAAATTGATATTTCACTTACCTTGTTGGATGTAATAATCTGCCCTGGTGACTGATGAGTTTTAGAAGTTTCTGGCATTCTTATAAACGGTGGTTCAAAAAAATACATATATCCAAAAAAAAGTTAACCTTTCAAGTGTTTCAAAAACAAATAGTTGCGCCAGATAAAATTTGTATCAACATATAAATACTTATACTCTACCTTTTTTTGAGTGTTTTCACAATAATCCACTCAAAACTTATAATAAACAAATACTTAAACAGAATTTTCTCAGAAGTGTTTCTGAGATATTTCATAATTTGTTTTGTTAATGTTGCTATTAACAACTTTTCATTAAAGACGAAAAGACTTTTCTATACAACTATGCAGAATATTTGGACTTCTTATTATCCTCTTTTTTCCCAATTTAAGCACCATTTCCCTTGATGGCTAAACAGTAATATGTTTGCAACTTCCCAATAAGTTTATCTGATTACCATTCACCCATCGAAATTCATTTTTCTTGATTTTCCTGTGTGCTTTGTAAAATACTTGTGCTTTTGTGACAGCATTCAGACCGTTCTCAGAATATTCAATACGAAACAAGGTATTGCTCCTATTCATGGTAAATTAAGTTGTTTCTGTTTAAGTTGTCTCTTCGTATTAAAAAACGAGATGCCACCAACATCAAACGAATCGACGTGAGTATCATTTCTGGTTATTCTGTGGCTATATCACAGAATAACTAGAAAGGACACTGGGGACACCTTGTTATTATTAATGTGCCTTTAGTTCCCTCAATGATCTGGCAACCTTCGCCCTCTCTCTCTTTTGAGAGAGAAAAGCGACGCGAGAGACCTGGCAAAGTTCGTTGGTTTCACTTCTTAAAAATGGAAAAATTTAAATCGAGGTTAAAAAATGCGGTTCCTCCAACATCAAAGGAACCGACATCAGTGTCATTTCTGATTATTTTGTATGATACTGAAAAATGAATTTATGAACACCTATATATAAAATTTGTTTTTTCATAAAATGAACTTTCTATTTCTTTCCTTGACTTTTTTTCCAACAACACCTAATCATTATTTCTGAAAATATAGTATGTTCTTGATGAAAGAACTGGTAAAATCCACAGACATCCCAGCAGATCAACAAAAAAGCTTATTCGTACAGGCTCCAGTACCACCAAGGATATATGGATTACCCAAAATCCATAAACCAGACGTCCCACTACGCCCTATTGTCAGTGCCATAAATTCTCCCACCTATCAACTAGCAAAACACCTTTCCAAGATCCTGTCTCCTTTTACAGGTAAAACAGAGTCATATGTCAGAGATTCCACACATTTTGTAGAATCAATTAGGAGTATGAAGCTAGACCCTCAGGATATGCTGGTAAGTTTTGACGTGGAATCTCTATTCACCAGAGTACCAGTCAAGGATGCCGTGGATGGTCTTCGCCAGAAACTCATCCTGGAGGGTTTGCCCAAGTATGTTCCAGGACTAGTGGAATACTGCCTATCGTCGACATATTTCAGCTGGAAGGGGGAATTCTACGAGCAATGCGAAGGAGCAGCCATGGGATCACCTCTGTCTCCTGTGATAGCCAATTTTTACATGGAGATGTTTGAAGAGGAGGCGCTAAAGAAGAGTCCTTGGAAACCGAAGCTATGGCTCCGTTACGTCGATGACACTTTTGTGATCTGGCAACATGGAAAAGAGCAACTCCAGGAATTTCTAGACCACCTCAATTCACAGCACCCCATGATAAAATTTACCATGGAAACAGAAAATGCAAAACAGTTGCCATTCCTGGATGTGTTAGCCACTAGGAAGACAGATGGGGGCATGGAACTGGGAGTATATCGAAAGAAGACACATACGAATAGGTACCTGCAGGCTTCATCCCACCACCACCCACAACACAAGAGGTCCGTGATTCAAGCCTTATTCCAGCGAGCAGAGAGGATATGCGAGAAAGAGAACCTAAGAAAAGAAGAAAGATTCCTAGAAGATGTGCTGCAGAAGAACGGCTACACGATGAGAGATATCCGACGATCCACCAAACCACACAAACAGAAGGATGACTCGGTAAGTACAACACCAGCCAGTTTTATCTGCCTTCCTTATGTTTCAGGTGTGACGGAGCGAATTACGAGGCGTCTGAAGAAGAATGATATCGTGGTACGATACGGTACGGTCAGCAAAATACAAAACGCTCTTCCGATAGCCAAAGACAAACCCAATTAAAGGGAGCTGGAGTCTACCGGCTATCTTGCAGTTGCGGGAAATATTACGTTGGCCAAACTGGACGTAACATCGAGTGCCGCATCAAGGAACACGAAGGAGACGTCCGACTAAGGAAGATCCAACAAACTGCAGTCGCAGAGCATTGCCACAAAGGAGGACACAGCATAGAGTTCGAAAAAACCAAAGTGCTAGCAAGAAACGGACATTACTTCCAAAGATTGACGAGAGAGGCGATAGAGATTCATCGACATGGGAATAAGATGAATAGAGAAGATGGCTGGGAACTCAGCCGCACATGGCAGATGTTGGTGAACTCAACGAAACCTTCTCCACCCGGATTTGACAAAATAACTTAGTTGACAATTAGACAATAATTAGTTGTTAATTACCTTTTCATGTATTTATTGTCAAATTTTAAAACGAATTCGTCACTTTGAACTTGTTTCTGAAGAAAGTTGCAACATGGCATCCGAAACGTCAAACATTTTTTCAAAAAACGCACGGCTTAACCCGAAAGATTCTAGGTTTAGTGTTAGTTCTTGTGATAGTGCTAGTTTTAGTTTAATTAATATCGGCCGTGAAAGCCTTCGTACTTATAGTATGTTCTTCATTAAACAAACTAGCTTAAATATGCAGACATTTCAACTCTTTTCATCAATGCCTTCACAAGGGATTTTAGTAACAGTTTTTGTAGCAGCAATAAATAGTATATAATAAAGTTACTGTTGATTGCTCTAACTATTACTTTGTAAATTTTAATTAATTAAAAGCATCTTAAAAGATCAAGTTGAGATTCAAGACGAGATAAACAACAAGAAATATTCGCAGGTGTTATAAAACTTACCTTTCTTCTTTGGCCCTACTTTAAGCTTTAAGCAGTTTCCTAAAGTTTACCACTGACGCTAAGATATTTAAAGTCTCGTATTTGCTTTGGTGATTCGACCCGACACGTGTACGAAACTTTCCCCAAGAACTTCGTATGTCCTAACGGAAAGTACCTAATTCAGAGTGTCTCTAACATTTTTACGTATTATCGTTCTTTTTATTTAAAGCATAAAGGCATAATTCGTTTATTCAAAGTAACACCACTTAACTTGTTACTTCAATAAACCTTAACCAACGCCAACATCTCTCTGAGTTTATTGTTAATTTCCCGTCAAGACCAATTTTGGATGACCCCAAAAAACCTTTAACTCAGTTCAGTTATAATCTGAATCTGAGGGAATCTTCACTTCTTTTTGTGAATTATTAATCAATTTTAGAAGATGCAATTGAAATCATCGTTTCTCATTGTCTCTTCAAGGGCGTTGGTAACATTGATGGTGGTGCTGCTTTTGATGTAAAGTTTTGCAATTTCAAGTTCTCCTCAGACGCTTGAAAATTAATAACTTCTCGTTTTGGTGTTTGCAGAGCGTCGTCGCCACGTGGTCGTGCAAGTGCTAGTTTACTCAAGCAGAAGAAGGCTATACTGAATAACTTGCTTAATCCAGATAGATACGACGGGCAAATTAAACCTGGAATATTAAACGAAGAGGGTAAGTTTATTAAGTTACGTAATTAATTACATATTAAGAGTGGATTGCTCTTTTAATTTAGATAGTCCAACAACAGTACAAGTTAGCATGCATATTTTATCAATAACAAACGTGGACGATAAAAATATGGTGCGTTGAATGAGAAAATGTTTATAAAATTGAAATTTAAACATTCTTATTTCGTTTAAGATGTTTTCATTGGAATTCTACGTCCGTCAGAAATGGAAAGACGAACGCTTAGAATTTAACAACACCGCAAATAACATCAAATACATCGTTTTAAACGAGATCCGACAAATTTGGATGCCCGATTTGTTCTTTACGAACGAACATTCGAGTCGGACGCACGATTTAATGGAATCGAACAGTTTCAGGAAAATTTATAGAGATGGAACCGTCTTAACAAGCGCAAGGTTTTGCTTAGATACATGTTATTTTAAGTTTTTATTATTTTTTTTTAATTAAACAGAGTTAGTTTGGTTTTAAGATGCAAAATGTTTTTTGCGTTGTACCCCATGGATTCCCAAGTATGTCCGTTAACAATAGAAAGTTGTAAGATTTAAATTCTAAATTAAAAAAAAAATATATTTAAACTTTCTTCTTAATTAATTCTAGATAGATATAAGGCGGACGATATTAGTTTAGAATGGACTAACGAGAGCACTCCGGTAACTCTCGGCGATGATATGTTAATTCCATTATTCACAGTTGAACGCTTCTGGACCGATAGAGGTTTGATCGCCATGGAATCCGGTGAATATTCAAGATTAACGCTCTATTTCAAATTCGCAAGAAGAACGGGATATTATCTGGTTCAAGTTTATATTCCTTGCGGGATGGCTTTCATTGTATCGTGCTTTCCGTTTTGGTTAAACCCGAAATTAATTACAGCCAGAGTTTTAATAGGTGAAAAAAATTCTATTAAATCAACAATCAAATTTGATTAATTTGAATTTTAGGGATTGGAGTTCTTTTATCGACATCTCTTCAAGTATCCTATGTAAATTCGAATATGCCAAAAGTGCCATATACAAAAGCAATCGACATTTTCACCGGAATGACTTTAACGTTTATTTTTTGTGCTTTATTAGAAACGATTTTTGTTCATGTAACTGAAGTCAAATCAACTAGAAAACTTGAAACTCAAGAATCTGTTGCAAAGGATGATGTAGAACAGGTCGATATTTACTATTTATATGTACTATTTATTTACATTAACCTTCGAGCGGGCGCGACCGATTTCATAACACGAGTTATACATTTTGTGACATCACGTCCGTATTTGAAATCGATAAATTTTTTAAATCTAACATTTTCAAACTACATACCTGGAATTTCATATAAGTCACAATATATGAATGCAATAACCATAGTTACGAAACTACTGTGCACTTGCACTGTCCCACATAAAATGCAACATAGCTTACTAGTACAGGCATTGTTCCAGGCAATTCTGGGTCCAGTGTTAGTTCTACTTTTCGTTCAATAAAAATATCCCACAAGGATAGACACTAGAACTAGAAACTTTCAGGTTTAGCCGTGCGTCTCTCAAGACGGCTAAATCCAAATGATTGTAGTTCTAGGTATTGTGTTAGTTGTAGTGATAGTGCTAGTGTAAAACTAGAACTAACACTAGACCAAGAACTAGAAACATTCGGATTTAGCCGCACGTCTCTCAAGACGGCTAAACCCGAATGATTCTAGTTCTGGGTCTTGTGTTAGTTCTAGTGATAGTGCTACTGTAAAACTTGAACTAACACTTGACCTAGAACTAGAACCATTCGGATTTAGCCGCACGTCTCTCAAGACGGCTAAACCCGAATGATTCTAGTTTTAAGTCTAGTGTTAGTTCTACTGACAGTGCTAGTGCAAAACTAGAACCAACACTAGAACTAGAAACATTCGAATTTAACCGCACGTCTTATCAAGACGGCTAAACCCGAATGATTCTAGTTCTCGGTCTTGTGTTAGTTCTAGTGATGGTGCTAGTGTAAAAATAGAACTAACACTAGACCTAGAACTAGAACCATTCGGATTTAGCCGCACGTCTCTCCAGACGGCTAAACCCGAATGATTCTAGTTCTGGGTCTTGTGTTAATTCTACTGACAGTGCTAGTGCAAAACTAGAACAAACACTAGACCTAGAACTAGAAACATTCGGCTTTAGCCGCACGTCTCTCAAGACAAGGCAAATCTTGTTTTACATTTTAAAACTAACCTTCCTTTTTTGGCTCAGAGGCCCAGATATAGATATTTCAGATTCATGATTTTGTTGGCGATCGACTGAAAATGGCTTCGCGATCGACGTTATGGACACCACAGCTATAGGCTCTATCTTGTTGAAACCAAAGCAGTCTGTGTACGAGACGAGGATTCATATCATATGGAAAGCGTCTGGCTAATTCCAGAATTAATTTTAATTTCAAAATTGCCTAGTACTCATAGATCATTGGAAATTTCTGCCCATACATTAACTTTTTGAGGATACAGTGTACGTGTCTCCATCTTTCAATGAGGATTTTCGTCCGACTAATATCTGCAGTTCTGTCTGTTGACTGTACCATTTAAATAGAAATTTGCCTTTGTAAGAAAAAATGATTTGTTTACAAAATTCTGGCTTATCATTTAATGGATCCAATAACCAAGTTTAGTTCAATTCTTGAACAAATGGTACTTTATAAGATGCCATTTTTCTTTCTTCAATCACAGATCATAAAACGTTTGCTGTTGTTTCGTCTGATACATGTTGGCGACTACTTTTCGGATGATCATGTGTATGTCCAATTTCCTCAATTTCTTTATGAAACAAACTCCAAAACGAATTCTTAGAACTTATGTCCTCAAAGTAGATTTCATTCGACTTATGTAAAAGGGCTTTTCATATTCACTAGCAGCATATCATTTATTTTTCTTCATTAATTAACCTTTCAAGTACTTCAATAAAAATATACAAGAATCTAGTTGGATAGCAATTAAAACTAGAACTAACACTAGGCCTAGAACTAAAAAGTTTCGGGTTTAGCCGTGCGTACATCAATAAAAATATACAAGAATCTAGCTGGATATCAATTAAAACTAGAACTAACACTAGACCTAGAACTAGAAAGTTTCGGATTTAGTCTTCAGACGCACGGCTAAACCTGAATGTTTCTAGTTCTAGGTGTAGTGTTAGTTCTAGTTTTACATTAGCAGTGTTGCTATGTAGAACTAACACTATACCTAGAACTAGAATCATTTGGGTTTAGCCGCACGTCTCTAAAGACTCTGAAGACGCATGGCTAAACCCGAAACGTTTTAGTTCTAGATTTAGTGTTAGTTCTAGTTTTACACTAGCACTATCACTAGATCTAATACAAGACCTAGAACTGGAATCATTCGGGTTTAGCCGTCTTGAGAGACGTGCAGCTAATCCCGAATGTTTCTAGTTCTAGATCTAGTATTAGTTCTAGATTTAGTTCAATAAAAATATGCAACATAGTGATTTCTTATTCCAACTAGCGCTACCTATCATTATCACTAGAACTAACATTAGAACTAGAAATATTTGGGTTTAGCCGCACGTCTCTCGAAACTTATAAACCCGAATGATTTTAGTTCTAGGTCTTGTGTTAGTTCAAGTGATAGTGCTAATGCAATACTAGAACTAACACTAGACCGAGAACTAGAAACATTCGGATTTAGCCGCACGTCTCTCAATACGGCTAAACCCAAATGATTGTAGGTCTTGTATTAGTTCTAGTGATAGTGCTACTATAAAGCTGCTGAATGTTCCTAGTTCTAGATCTAGTGTTAGTTCAAATAGAATATGCAACATAGTGTTATCTTATATTAATAGCAAAAATTTAAAAATTTCGATTCCGACAAAATTGTCATTAATAATAATAATGTTTATTCAATAGTATGAATACAAAATACACAAAGAAAAATATACATTTCATGTAAAAGTTACAAGCAAAAAGTAATAATAATTCCTGAATAAACATATGTATAGTAGAAATTTTCCACTGAAGCACTTCATTGGTGCAGTCTTGGTCGGTATATTTATCGTAATCTTTGGGCTCATTGAATTGAATTAGGTGCTGATCATTTCAGAAAAAAACCGTCGTCCCTTGTGGAATATCCAGTTTTTTATTTGTTTTTTCACTATGGCGTCTCTTAGGTTGAAATGCAATAATCTTCCTATTTCTGGGTGTACAGCTTTGGAGCTACGTAATTTAGGCTACGCTGTCCTATTCTTTTATTACATTTTGGAAGTTTTGCAGTTATGTTCCTGTTTCTTGTACCATAGGAATGATACATTTGATTCATTAACTGCCTATGTCTGCGTGCGTACATTAATACTTTCTGGCTATATATTTGTCTTGTGTCTAACACCTGGCTTATGTTATATATCTCATTTGAAGGTGATGTTATATTTTTGTTGTACATTATTCTTAATATCGATTTCTGTACTTTATTAATTTTTTCCAAATGAGTGTCGGTTACCCCTCCCCAACCCAAAACAGCATATGATATAGGTGATTGCAAAAGGGAGTAGTAAACAACTTTCAGGTGTCTTTTATCCAAAAGCTGTGACAGGTACCTAAATCTGCTTGTTAGTCCTCTGATTTTCTTGACAATGTTATCAGCCTATAAATTCCAGCGTAAATGTTGATAAATAACTATGTCTAAATATTTTACTGATGACGCTTGTGGAATAAAAGTTTCCAGATCAACAACAAGGTTTCCCAATTTATGTTAACTGTTTGTTCGCGGTCTGTTAAATAGTTTTTAAGTATATCGTACACGTGACCTGTGATCCCGTATGCGTATAGCTTTTTTAGCAATATTTCATGAGAAACCGTGTCAAACACTTTTGATAGATCGACAAATATGCACATTGCAGGAATTTTCTCATCCATAACTTCATATATTTCCCGGGTTAAGGCACAAATTGCGTCCTCTGTCGATTTTCCTTCTTTAAAGCCAAATTGATTAGGTGAAATCACATTATTTTTATCAAAAAACTTCACAAGTTTACACTTAATGTTATTGGTCGATAATTTTTAGTCAGATGTATGTCACCATCCTTAAATATTGGCTATATTACTCCAATTTTTAATGCCTTTGAAAAGTAAACATCACCAAAACACATATTATTTATAATTGCAGATAGTGGAAACACAATGATATCTGTGACTTTCATTAGAGTTTCTGCCCTTATTTCATCGAAACCAGGAGCTTTCCCTAGTTTTAGACTTTTAATGACTTCAGCAACCTCCAACTCGTCTGTTTCTGAGAGGTACATTGAACTTTGTACATATGTGATGTACTCTATTCCCAATCCACTAAAATAGTTACTGAATTCGTCGGCTATCTTCTTATCTCCATTCACTACCTCAGCCTGTACGTGAATACGTGTTATTTTGGTCTCAGTTTTCTTTTTGTTACAAATATCATTAATACAAGTCCACAGTGCCTTTGTTGAGTTTTTGCTTATATTTATTATGTTATTTATATATTCTCTTTTGTGTTTCTGAATATTACGTGTTAACTTGTTTTTAAGTTGATTGTACTGTTGTTTAAATGATTCATTATTTGGATTCCTTTACGGACCTGTATTTTTTCAAAAATGTGCAAACGATCCGAAACCTTCATGCAGGATTCAAAACCTGTTTATAATACATTTATATCCCTTAATACATCCCATAATATAAATACGGCCTTATAAATCAGCAATTAATGTGTAAATTTTTTGTGTTTTATAACGTATTTTGCCAAAAATGCACAAATTGTCATAAATTTTATGACTGCCCGCTCGCTCGAAAATTAAATCTCTTCAAATCGTTAATTAATTTATTTGCAGGTTGAGAAATTCGATAAACCGAACGCTATCATTAAAATGAAAGCTTGGATGTTTGATGATCACGAAACGTTAAATGATATTGATGCAGCTTCCAGAGCATTATTTCCGATGAGTTACATCTTGTTTCTTTTTATTTATAGTCTTACTTGTGTTTCCTTAATTATGGAATAAGTAAAGTTTCTAGAAATCATGAAATCTGCTAATTTAAAGTAGGTATTTTAGTCGGGTTGTAAACTAATTTGGTGCGGAATTTGACTAAAACTATCGTCGTTTTTCTGTAATATCTATCAAGATCAAATTTTTAGGATTTCATTGTAAAAGAAAAACTAAATATTTATATAATTTTATTATAACAAAAAAATAACTTTGTTAAAAACATGCGCAATTAATCAAAATTAATCGATTCACATTTAAATCTATTACAATAAATGTTACATTAATAACATGATTGTTTATTATAAAAAAAATTAATAATGAGGCACAATTCATTTCCGTCTCCCGCGAAACATTTTTCCTTCCACTCCAATTTTATATTATCTCCCTAATACTTACATTGTTTTTAATTTTTATGTATTCATCAAAATCCACACTGTTCATATTTGTTTTTTTTTTACTTTATATTGTTTATATTTGTTTCTACTATGTTTATTATAGTACTCCATTTTAAATCATTTATTATTATTTTCTTTGAATTAAACTTTAATTAATATTTTAATTTTCAATTTACATTCACCTTTTTACATGGTTACAAAACTGTTTAATTGTTGAAGAGTATCCGCCTCTAACGTTTGCAACAATTGTTGGTAATTAACCGGTCCGATTTGATTTCGCAATTCAACGATTTGCAATTGAAGGTAATCTCGAAGACAAACTGTATGTATCGGATCGATTTTTAACAGCTGATTTTTCCTATGTTCATGATCCGTTTCGTATTCACGATCATCTGGATAATAACCCTGAAATTGAAATTGATACTGATCTTGAGGATCCGCACTCGGTTCTTCGCCAAGATTCGGCATCAATAACGAATCGGAAGAGGTTCCATTATCATCGTATTTAGTTATATCATTTAATGTCTCCAAAATGTTTAACATGATTCCATTAAAACGTTCCAAAACTGGATTGCTTTGTGATGTTAATAAATTTGATAAAGCTAATGCTAAATAAAAAATATTTAATAAACATATTTTAATAAAATACAGTAAATCCTCGTTAAAACGGATTAATATGGGGAAGAAAGTGTCCGTTATAGCGAAAAGTCTGTTATATGAATAATTTTATGCACACAAATTCGGCCAGCTTTATATTTATATCAAGGACGGTAGAATCTAAAAGAACTGCTACATCCCAAAAACAGCTCGAAGGCCCATTCGTGACGTCATCGCTGAATAACAATTAAAATTAGAACTAACACTAAACCTAAAAAGGTTCGGGTTTAGCCGTGCGTTTTCAGACGAATGGATCTAGTTCTACAATAGGTATTGCATTCTCGAAAATTATTAATCGATTATAACTTCGGGATTTTGTTTATGTCATTAATTTACTATTTTTTGAAGAATAAGACTCGATCTATCGGTTGACACTGCAAGCACGCATTCGACATTACCTTTCCCTCAATATTTGTGTACTTCCCCGAGCTGGACAAGGTTATTTATAGGTTAGGAGGTAGTGAAATTGTTTTTTTTATTGTGGAGGAAAATACACGAACAGAGAATAAGTGTAGGTAAGTCGGAAAATTTTTTTTAACACGTAACAGTAAGGAATTTAACCAGTATCAACTTCTACCATATTGGTATCCATATATCAAATTACAGGTAATTTCTAACTGGTGCGGATTACGGTGAAACGGCAAAATGCAAAAAATGTTTTACTATTCTGAAAACAAAGGGTGGGTCTAACAAAGGATTAATTACTCATTTATTAAATATACGCAAAATAAACATTAAAGAGCAACGAAAAGAACGAGCTTGTCTTGCAACTTTAAATGTACCTAGTACTTTAGGTACATTAACGCCCTCTAAACAAATAAAATTAACAGATTACTATTTGATAAAAACTGAAAAAATACTTGATGCAGTTTTCGCTAGAATGACATCATTAGATGGGTTGTCGTTTTCTGTTTTCATTACATCCATGGATTTATGAGAATCTCTGCAAGGTCGAGAATTTGTATTGCCAACTTCTTCAAACACTATTAGAAGTCGTGTACTAAATTCTTATGAAAAAATTCGCGCACATATTATTCAATCCATAAATAAACAAAAGGAAAATGGAATAAAATTTAGTCTTACATTTAATGTCCATTTCTAATAAACGTTTTATGAACATTAATGTACATGATGGTACAATGTTTTGGAACATTGGTGTCATAAGAATTACACATTCATACCGGTGAAGAATGTATTTTCATGGTACAGGCGCGATTAAATGAATTTGGATTAAGTTTATCACAAGATGTAGTTGCAGTTACTGCAGACGGAGCTGATGTAATAAAAAAAATTGGGACGCCTAATTACACGAAGCCATCAATTATGTTTAGCACATGGTTTACAGAAATGATAAGAACAGAAATTTTCAGAAAAATGGATATGTAAAGCAATGGTTGACATAAAAGAGTCCTTTCTTGTAGTTTCATAATACGAACTTATTAAAGCGTTAGTAACAATATTGGAACCGGCAAAGCTGACTATACAAGCTTGATGTCAGCGGAGTATTACACTAGGAAAAGCAGATATAGCTTTACAATTTATGATAAATGAGATATAGATAAGTGTCCATCAGTTTTAGATCAAGATTTATTTAATGCGTTTAGAACACGCATAAGAGAAAGGAGAACCATTAATTCTTCTATATCAGTGGTGTCCACTAATTTTTGATCAAGATCGACTTTTTATATTAATGTCTTGCCAAGATCGACCAAAGGGTTTAAAATCTTTTTTTACATTTTAAAACTAACCTTCCTTTTTTTTTAGCTCTGAGGCCTAGATATAGATATTTCAGATTCATGATTTTGTTGGCGATCGACTCAAAGCTGCTTCAAAATTACATGAAATTGAAAACAAAAGTGACGAAATTAATGATGAATTATCAGATTTTCCAAGTGATTGTGATGATAATAGTGATATCGTACCTACGAGAAAAAAATTTAAACCTATTTTATCTGAAACAGAAACTAATACTTCTTCTGAATCAGAGGAGGATGAGAGTAATAGTAATGGTGAATCAGAGGAGGATGAAAATACCGATAGTGAATCAGAAGTTGATACACTACAGATGTATGGGGTGATATTGATATACCACCACAGTTAGAATCATTTGAAGGAAATCCTGGTCTAGTGATTGAAGAAAACCCCGAAAACATCGATGAGTTATTTTTTAATGATGACTTCTTCTTGTACCTGTGTTATGAAACAAATAGATATCACAATGAACGAGTAACTAAATATAAAGTTTATAAAAATGCTCTAAAGTGGACTGGTAATTTTAATGGGACAGATAATTCGGGAATAAAATAGACGTTAGAAAACGTAAAGTCTGATGGCTTCCAGAGTTTGGGATTTACGTGATGATTTTTGGGATTAGCTAGTGGCGGATGTTATCTTCTGGCCTCGTGGTCAAAAATTGTTCCCTTCCCCAAGTTCCCTCATTGGTTCAGAAAATTATTGTAAAACATCTGCCCCGTATTTTGAATTGGCCCAAGTGTCGGGAACATCCAGGCGATAGGAACGCCTCAAGAAGGTTTTTGCACCCCTCCAACACCCGAGGTTACTTAAGAGCTTGTAAGACCTTTTTCAGGACAATCAAAAATCACATAACAATCACATGAGAATCAATTAGAATCACAACGAACCTAAGAGATTTTTGAGTCGAAGCGTCGTGCGTCGTTAGCGCTCCGTTAGATAGCAACTTAGAATTCGCTTTAACGCCAATTCTAAGTGTCGTCGCATATCGAGAACTGTGACTTAGTTTCAATTGTAAACATTCTTTGCATTTCGGGCATCCGTGTCGTGTCGGAAATTGTGTTTCCACTGAGGATTTGGTGCGAAAGTGGTGTTGGAACCTTCCCGGTTAAATTTCGAGAAGCCTCCAAAAAGGATCCAGTGTTGCGATCCATCGGCGTACCACCAAATCGGAATACAAGTCCTGAGTAAGTCTGTTTGTCAGTTTCCGTTATCACTTATCTGTCAACGAGAATTAGCTGTCGGGGTTAAGTAACGTCGGGTCATAAATAAACGTAGGTAGATTTTAAGGTTTATTTTGTTCATTGTCAATTATTTCTTATTATTTTGTTAATATAGTTTAAGTGTGGTTAGAACACTTGTCTTTTGATTTTCCCCTTTTCCTGACAGAGCCTTAGTGCAAGAACCCGCGGTTCTGAAATAGTGACCGCGCGCTTGTCATTTAGTTTTGATTGATTTGCTAAGATCAATTAGGGGTCCTTGAGACTAAGAGTTAGGAAGCGCAAAATACTGTTTCTGGTGGCAGCGGTATTACCAAAGGTCGTGACCGTTCCGAAGCGGCCTCACCACAAGGTAAAAAAAGTAAATTACAAGATTATTAGGCAAAAGATCCGTTGAAACATCAATATTTGCAAAAATTATGACTCGCACACGATTTGATTCCTTGGAGAGGAAGGCTATCGTTTAGAACATATAATCCGGCTAAGATTATAAAATATGGGTTGATTGTACGGGCTGTATGCGAAAGTAAGTCTGGATATCTAATAAATCTAGAAATATACTGCGCAAAAGGTAAAAAATTACAAGAAATTACATGTTGTCAGTTTTGCATCCAGTATTAGGAAAGTGGCATTACTTATACCAAGACAATTATTATAATAATGTCCAAAATGCAGAATTATTATTACAACATAAAACTAGAGTTTGCGGAACGATCAGGGATTACCAATAAGTTTACATAATGACATAAAAAAAATGAGAAAAGGTGACACAGTATTTCGCCGAATAAATGAAAAATGGCTACTGTTGATATTTAAGGATAAAAGAGAGATAAAAATGATAAGTGCAATTCATTCTGCTCAAATAGTACAAACCAGAAAATAAAATGGAAAAACAAAAGATATACAGGGTGTTTCAGGTTTTTGTAGCTAGACTTTAACAGTCGATAGATCTTTTAAAATTAACACAAAAACTTCATATAAACATAGGTCGACAAACGCTTTGTTTTGGAGATACAGGGTGTCCAAATTAAATTTTTAAATTGATTTTTATTTAATATTACACGTGTATTTCAACCGATTCTTTTAAAATTTTGCATACGGAGGTTTTTTGGCATGAGAAAGACGATTATGAAGTCCGTTTTACTATAGTGGGTAGATGCGCTCTATAACGTATTCTTTACTTAATCCGTAAATAACAATAACTTTTCTGACAGTATACTTTTTGAATAAAAATTCTTATTCTCTATACTTTTTAAACAAAAAGGGTACTCTTATCAAAATGCGCTAAAGTTTATCGTTTTCAAGATAATCCGGTTTTTATTATTCGATACATAAATACGATTTACTTATACCCGAAATAAAAGATAAAATGTAAATTTTTGGCTCAACTTTGACAGCTCATAGCTCGAATTCAAAAGAGTTGCGATCCTATGTTAATATAAAAAAACTTGTATTATTTTGGCAAGTATGACATCCTAGTAAAGTTTCCCTATTAAAAACTGAACCTAAAAACTAAAAAAAAAATGCTAATAGTTATGTACAAATTTTGAAAATTTTAATAAAATATCTTTAAACAAGTTATTAAACGTTAAATTCTGTTTGTAATGTGAGAAACATCTAGTTATCATAACAAAATTATTCATTAAAATACCCCGATTTATAGGTAAATTTTACGAAAAATAGCCTGATGCGAATGTGTTAAGTTATCTCAAAAGGGGTAAAAATGATCAAATGATTGCCAGCGAAGTAGAGAAACTTATATTACGTTTAACATCAAAAGATGAACAAAAGATATTTGAAAATGATGAAAGTGACTTACTAATTGCGGTGTTTCAACGGCAGGAAACGAATCAGACACTGAAAGAAAAATTTCATTCTGCTCTAAACAAACAACAATCTCATAAACATCAAACAATACATTAATCCAGGAAATTGATATATTTAATAATGGCGGTAGTATAGGTAAAAATTTTCAATTTGCTTTTGAATGTTTGAAAACTATTGCACTAATAAGTGTGAAATCGGAACGGTGCTTCTCTTCAGCAGATTTATTAACCTCAAAATTTAGATCTCGTTTAGGAGATAAAACAATAAATAACTTACTTGTTGCCGTGGGTCTCTTAAGACGGCTAAACCCGAATGTCTCTAGTTCTAGTGTTAGTTCTTGTATTCCACTAACACTGTCAGTAGAACTAACGCTAGACTTAGAACTCGAAAAATTCTATGTCTCTTCTAAGTCCAATGTTAGTTTCAGTTTTGCATTACAACTGTCACTAGAACTTACACTAGACCTAGAACTAGAATCATTCGGGTTTAGCCATCTTGAGAGACGTGCGGCTATACCCGAATGTTTCTAGTTCTAGGTCTAGTGTTAGTTCTAGTTTTGCACTAGCACTGTCAGTAGAACTAACACCAGACTTAGAACTAGAATCATTCGGATTTAGCCGTCTTGAGAGACGTGCGGCTAAACCCGAATGTTTCTAGATCTAGTGTTAGTTCTAGTTTTGCACTAGTACTGTCACCAGAACTAACACAAGACCTAGAACTAGAATCATACGTGTTTAGCCGTCTTGAGACGTACGGCTAAACACGAATGATTCTAGTTCTAGGTCTTAGTGATAGTACTACTGTAAAACTAAAACTAACACTATTCATTCGGGTTTAGCCGTCTAGTGTTAGTTCTAGTTTTGCATTACAACTGTCATTAGATCTAGAACTAGAATCATTCGGGTTTAGCCGTCTTGAGAGACGTGCGGTTAAATCCGAATGTTTTTAGTTGTAGTTTTGCACTAGCACTGTCAGTAGAACTAACACTAGACGTAGAATTAGAATCATTCGTGTTCAGCCGTCTTGAGAGATGTGCGGCTAAACCCGAATGTTTGTAGGTCTAGTATTAGTTATAGTTTTGCACTAGAACTAACACAGGACCTAGAACTATAATCATGTTTAGCCGTCTTATGAGACGTTCAGTTAAACCCGAATGATTCTAGTTCTAGGTCTTATTGACAGTGCTACTGTAAAAGTAGAACTGTACATTAGATCTACAATTAGAAACATTCTGGTTTAGCCATTCGTTTCTTAAGACGGCTAAACCCGAATGTCTCTAGTTCTATGTATAGTGTTATTTCTTGTTTTAGTTGAATATAAATATACAACAATTAAACGCTGAATAACAATTAAAACTAGAAGTACCATCCTTGATTTTTATACATCGTATAAACAACTAAGGGAATATTTGTTTATCTATTTCATATTCATAAACGAATTTGGGGAATAACCCGAGTTCGAGGCTATCTATGAATTCTAACATTTATATTTAAATATACTAATTTATTAAATAGATAATATTAACCGTGTGACTTAAAAATATTTTGTCCCTTACATTCAAAGTCCGTTTTAACGAGGTCCATTATACCAAGAATATTCGTATTTACTTACAAAGTAATTTTCTTTGTTCTTGTTGCGAAACATTGCGCATTTTGCGGATCCAAATATCTAAGATTGTTGCTAAAACATCCTGTTCCGAACAGTTATGTCGTCCAGCTATGATTAAAAGAACCTCGCGGAAAATCGAAGGGGATGATATTAAAACTCGAGAGAGTATGCAAAAGTTTAAAGACATTATAACGTAAACATCGTTATCTTTATAAACAGATCTAACAACAAAAAAATAGTTACATTCCCATTAAACAAATTTAGTAACACTTACTCAAATATCCTAGGTAAAATGCTTTTAACAGTTTCACACCCAATTTCCGGATTGGCCCTTATAAAGGTATCCACTAATCTTGTTAACATAATAAGCCCCTCATTTCTCATATCGGCCATCATTCCATCGCAAATCTTAATAATTTCCACTCCTTGTGTTCTCATTACATTTTCAGGATCTAAAAGCATATGTGCGGCGCAAATAATTAAACAAAGTCGTAAATTTTCGGAAGAATACTCCAATAAACCAGGCATGTTATCGAATAATCGCATAAACTCGTTCGTCATAACTGGGGAGTTCTCTAAAACTGTTAACCATAATTCCAAACTATCCTCTAAAAGATACACAATAGCTCCTTGAGTAACATCCGTTCCTAATTGAATCACCGGAAGCAAAAACGGGTTTAATTCGGCGCTAACGTGTCCTAAAGCGCGAACTAATTGTACCAAAGTTGCTACAATTGCTACCCTCAACATGTTATGATCTTCGGATTCCGTCCATAAAAGTGGCAAGAAATGAATAAGTGCCGCTGTATGCGGACTGATTGTTTGTCCAACTCTCTCAACCATTAAAGTCATTACATTTAAAACGTGCATTTTCGTTTCGCATTCTTTAGCTTCTTTTAATAAACAAAAAAGTAAATTGAAGGATCTATCTAAATACGGTCGAAATTGTTCGGAATTAAACTCAAAGTCATCTATTGCGTGTCTCAAAGCGGTCGAAGCGGTTAATCTAACTGCCATATCCTCATCAGATTCTAAAAGATTTGTTACACAATTATATAAAGCGGGTCGGAGTTCAGGTGATAATTTAATTCCCGTCCAATTTCCAATTAACGAGGTAACTCTACGCCGGATTACACGATAATTGTTATCCTTTACTTTTAATTCTTCGGTTAATGTGTTCATGAACCATTGGTCAAAGTCCACCTAATAAGATTTATTTATAAATGATTTTTATTCATGTTTTTTTTTTTAATTAATATACCTCATCATACATGTCATATGCTGCTAAACCGACGGCGTTGTAAACGGCGTCTTTCTTTAAAATTCCCGCCATATCATCAGGGGAAACCATGCAGTTTGTTTCGCGGATCATTTCTAGTAAAATCGGTGCTAAAGTCTCTCGAAATTCATGGAAGAGCGTTACGAATATTGTTTCCATACTAGGCTAAAAAAAATTTATTAAAAGAATTATTTTTTTTATTTTTTTTTCGGAGCTTTCGGCATTAGTAGTTTCTCGAAAAACGAGATCATGACATGTAAACTACTTTTTGTCTATCTCTTTTATTTATTTATTTTTTGTATTTATTAAAAAGAGATAATTCGAACATAAGCTATACGATATGAAGGTTAAATTTTTTTTTTGTACTATATCGATGTTATTTATTTATTTTCTTCTACATGTTTCGAGGAAACTGGGCCCTCATCATCAGGAAGAGATCGTCAAATTGATTGAGTGGACCTTTGATGGTGCGAACAAGTGTATTGTGCCTTTCTGTCAGGGTTTTTACTTATATACCGCTCGGGGAAATCCCTTATTTTGTACTTTGAAGCACATTCAACATATCGTGTGTATAAAAGTTGCTGTGAATGTGCCTCCGATGTATAAATACAACGTACTGTGAATGCTTAGAACAAGATGGAGAAATTAAAGAAATTTTTGAGTATAAGAGAAAAAGCCAATATAATCGATGAAGGTAAAAGAGGAATGTCAGTCACGACGTTATCTGATAAATACGGAGTTTCAAAATCAACAATTTGTGGTAAAAAAAAATTAAAAACTTATTGTCGATAAAACACCAAAACTATCAAACAAGTGTACCTTGAAAAAGTCTGCATTTCCACTTTTAGAAGAGAAATTGTACAATTGGTTTTTTAAAGAAAGAGAAAAGAGTTCATTATCAAAATAATTGAATATTGATACTTTCATGGTCAGTGTTGGTTGAATGCTTATGTGGAGCCTATTTCATAATTATCTTTCAGAAAAATACCTAATTAGAATTAGTTGGTATCAGGTGCTTATACTGGGTGTTTTTTAAGCCCGATAGAACTTTAAATTGACAAAGATAACACAAAAAATTAAATATTAATGCAAAAAATTTTTTTGTTCGAAAGATCAATTTCGATTTCGGGCATACGGGCACCGCGGCTGTTCTTGACGAAGCGCATTCTAGACGTCTAATTTTGGGCCGCATTTTCGAGCATTGCTGGTCATATATCACGAATAACAAAAATAATGTTAGCATTCAAGTCGTCAATTGTTGCTGGTTTATCAGTATAAACCAATGACTTCACGTGGCCCCACAGGATATAATCGAGAAGTGTCAAATCGCACGACCTTGAAGGTCAATTGACAGGTCCATTTCTCTTCTGTTGAAACCACTTCTCGCCCGGATCAATGTCATCCATATTTTCAATCAAAAACTCATTGATCATGGTGCGGTAACGATCTCTATTGACCGTAACGAGCTCCGACTTCATTTTTGAAGAAATAAGGTTCAATAATGCCACCAGTGTGGAAACCACACCAAACGATGCATTTTTTCTGGATGTTTTCTGGAGTCTGTAGGATCTGTTGTGGATTGGTTTCACTCCATATGCAGTAATTTTATTTATTAACAAACCCCTTAAGCCAAAAATGAGCCACATCAGCGATGTGGCTCATTTTGTCATAAAACATCGGATCTGTTTCCAGCTGGTTTGGATCGTAATCGGCGAAAGAACGACGCATATGATGGTCTTGTGGCTTTAATTCCTGCATCAGCTGGATCTTAAACGGGTGTAGGCAAAGATCTTTGGGCGAAATTCTCCACGTAATGGACAGACAGAACCATAATTCCTGTGACCGACGAAGAATTGATAAATTTGTATTTTCTTCAACACTTTCGTTTACAGCGGCGATATTCTCTTCGCACATTCCTTCGACGTGTTGGTGTTATTGCATCATTTAGAGAGTATGTGGTTAGAAATCTATCCACAGTTCGACGGATGGCTTGCTCAGATGGACGATGTACGAATGTACGCCATACAAATCACGAAGTCGTCTATAAGTTGTGCCAATTGATGACTAATTTTCAAAGTAAATCTGGATGATTTGGTAGCGTTGTTCAAGCGTCAATCTATTCATGATAACTTGCCGGAGTATACTGATTATAAATATCAAAAACTGACCGCAGTATGACAGTTCGTTTGACAGTTAACCCTTTTTGTAAGTTCTATCTGGCTTAAAAAAACACCCTCTAATATAAAAAATAAAACGAAAATCTTCTTAACTTGCTATATTTAATAAATTTGAAGTCAAACTAGTTTCGGGGCTAGCCCGATCCTCAGTGACAATGTCAACAGAAGACTAATATTGTATACTGAAGATCATCAAAAAGGCAATTGAATTGCATGTATAAAGCTGAAGGCGATATAATGCGGTGTTAAACGTGTACAGCAAAATGATTAAAATGGCGACAGCATAAAAGCACGTTATTTTAAACGCTTGTTGAAAAATAATCAAAAACCATGTTGAACCTTTAAAGAGACGTGAAGAAACGAGACGCATTATATCACCTTCAGCTTTATACATGCATTCAATTGCCTTTTTGATGATCTTCAGTTTACAATATTAGTCTTCTATTGATATTGTCACTGAGGATGGGGCTAGCCCCGAAACTAGTTTGACTTCAAATTTATTAAGGCCCACTTTTACCACCTCTAGATAAATTTAACCGATAGATAATTACCATGGTTACAGCGGTTTTAAGCGCTCTCATTGGCTAAGGTCCATTACTACCATCTTCTGGTTAAGCTATCTAAGGCATTATTACCACGGTTACGGCTAGTTTAAGTGCTCTGATTGGCTAGTAGATGGGTTTATCTATAAGATAAATTTAACTAAAAGATGGTAGTAATGGACCTAAGAGCACCAATTTATCTATCGTTTAAATTTATCAAGAGGTGGTAAAAGTGAGCCTAAATATAGCAAGTTAAGAAGTTTTTCGTTTTATTTTTTAAATAATTCACTTGCAACATGGATCTACACTCTAAACCCTCTAATATGTTCTAATTTAAAAAGAAAACAATTTCATGTCAATTTGTTTATTAGCGTGTTAATGAATGATGTGCAGATGTTTTAGGAGGTGGTACTAATGGGCAAAATATGAAAAAAATGTCAATATACAAATGGTCTCAAACCCGTTATTTTCGATATACAGGGTGAAAAAGTTTCAACTATTTATTCGAATTTTGCGTTTTTCTCCACTATCTTCTGAAATAATTGTTTCAAATTTGATACATCTTTTATCTCTTAGACAAAAAGAGACTTTTAGACCGTCTATGGCACTATACACAGGTTGTTCATTTTTTTAGTCTCCGACCCATATACGTACCGGAACCTTTTCTTTTTGAGTACCCTGTATAAATTCTGATATCATACTCTAACTGCCTGTCCTTTTATTCGCCTTTTTGGTGTTTTGGATTAGTCTCGAATTTATCACCGTTTTCGAGTTATTTGCAAAAATAGGTAAAAATCTTCAAGTATCTTTGGTTCGCATTAATCGCTATTTTTGCAAATATGTAACTCGAAAACGATGACAAATTCGAGAATAATGCAAAACATTAAACAGTTGTAGAAAATGACAGAGTTTTAAAGGTTATCAGAATGTATGCAGCTAAAAAGATAGATACATAGTTACCCTCAATGGTCACCTGTATATCGAAAATGACGTGTTTTTCACCACATGTATACTGGCATTTTTTTCTTATTTTGTCGATTACTACCACCCGTACCCCCTGAAGTATTTGTACATCATTCATTAACACCCTGTATAGTTTGAATTAGTAATACAGGATGATTCAAAAAACCGCTGACAGACTTCTACAGTAGATAATACAAGAAAAATTAAGATGAAACATTATCTGCAATAAAAAGCCCTTTTCTAAAAATATTGTCTATGCCATTGCTAATTTTGTCAAATGGGCAGTATTTTCGTCTAAAGTGATCAATTATCTATCAATTGGTCTTTACAAAACTTTTAACAAAGCAATAGTTTTTAAGAAAAACACGTTTGTAGAAAATTTTTTAATCCAATCAAAAACTGTTGCTTTAATTAAAGTTTTGTAAGAGATCAATTGATAGATAATTAATCACTTTACACAAAAATACTGCCAGTTTGACAAAATTAGCAGTGGCCTTGAAAATATTTTAAAAAAAGGGCTTTTTATTGCAGATAATGTTTAATTTTAAAGAAACTTTGACCCGCTATATCTCGTTAAGGAGGCATTTGCGACCCCATGTATATTAAGATTTTTCATCTTAATTTTTGATGTATTACCTGCCCTAGAAGTCTGTCAGCGGTTTTTTTGAATCACCCTGTATAAGTACATAATGTACAACATTATTTTATATGCACATCCTCATCATCATCAGACTCCTGATCACCATTACTTTGGGTTTTACTTTTTTTAGTTTTTTTTCGATTATTGGTCATAATACGGTCCGAAGATACAAGCATCCAGTTAAATATGTCAGTATTGGTGTTGATCCTTGAAGTTTTTCGGGAATGATATTATCTTAATTTTTTATACTCTTTATGGCCTGTCTCAATTATGTTTTCTGATAGTTGACCCACTGGCAAAGGTAAAAATTTTATGATATCAACTCCATGTATTAATAATTTGTGAACAGTGGCACTCGTTTTGTAGCAACCATAAAGCGATTTGTGCTGTTTCAAAACAATAGCGACGGGTATCAGCGCACGTAATACACTGTACTGAGTTAACTCAATTGCGCCGCGCAGCAGTGTTACACATCTCCAATTTATAGTGGCACAATCGTACATAAAATGATCGAATGCGCATATTCTGAANTAATTTAAAAAGAAAACAATTTCATGTCAATTTGTTTATTAGCGTGTTAATGAATGATGTGCAGATGTTTTAGGAGGTGGTACTAATGGGCAAAATATGAAAAAAATGTCAATATACAAATGGTCTCAAACCCGTTATTTTCGATATACAGGGTGAGTTTCAATTATTTTTTCGAATTTTGCGTTTTTCTCCAGTATCTTCTGAAATAATTGTTTCAAATTTGATACATCTTTTGTCTCTTAGACAAAAAGAGACTTTTAGACCGTCTATGGCAATACACACGTGTTCATTTTTTTAGTCTCCGACCCATAT